AGATGCACCTGTGGATGCACGACAAGGTCCGGTTAGCCCTGCCAACCATGACCTTGCATTGCTCTTGACTTAAGCAATTCTCTCATTGACTTTATTGGTAAACTGACAGTAACTTTATTAGGAAATTTCTTTGGATTATAGAGAGTGCTTTGTGATGCACCATTAAGATAGTAAACACTATAGAGAAATTTTGGCTTGAGACAAGTCGTGCAGGCAATATAAAAGAATATATATGTATTCTATGGAAGAAAAAGATTCTCGGGATCTACTGCTGCCACTCAGTGCACACATTGGGATGTATACTGCAGGAGTAAAATTGCTAAGGACATAATCCTGAATTTTGAAGCTACATCTTAATATTTTGGACTCTGATAGACTCTTCTCTTATAATTGTACTTTGGGCAACATAGTGCAAATTGCTCACCCAATATTTTAGCCTGTTCTTTGCAAATTGTGATTTGTGGGATGTTTGATGATTGTGGGAATCATCTGATGTTTGATGATTGTGGTCATAGTCAACAAGTATGGACAATATTTCCACACTATGCAGTAAGCGCTTGTACAATCTAGGATGTTTGTTTGGCTTCTTCCTTGGGGACAGTAATGGGACTAAGGCCCCCCTAGGCCTTACCACTGGTTAGCAATATCATGTGATGTGGTTTCTTGTTCCAGAATCTTCCTAAGAGTTCTGAAATCTGAGTTTTAAAAATAACCCATCTTAGAGATGTTTTTGATGATCTCTCCCCAAAACTGTAGTCTCCAAATTTCAAGATGTTCCAGTGGGCTGGGTGCAGATAATCAAGGCACAGACAGAAGTGACAATTTTTGCCTGATCTAGCACCTGAAAGTGCTCTACAGTTATGACCAAACACAAGTGCATGGCTGCTGAGCACTTTTAAAAGGTCCCGATCCCACAACAATCTGAACCCTCATTGCATGAGGGTTTAGATGAAGACTCTCCAAAACGGAGCTTCTTCCACTCCCTTTCCCCCCTCCCAATCTGAAAACAGCACCGAAGCTGGGAGGAAGGAAGGGCATTGCTAAGGGAGTATGGCTGCAGGCTTGCAGCTGCTCTAAACAGCAGTTTGATTCCCCAACCCTCAGGACCCAGAAGCAAATGTCTGTTGACTCTGGGGGGATTGTTGTAACTCATGGTGTTTCCTGCAGCGATTTATGTATTCAGTGTCCCACGCTTCAAAATGGCAGAGGTGGGGGACACTTTAACTAAAGCTTGTTCAATGACTTTTAGTTAAAGCACCCCCACTGCCATTTTGAAGTATAGGGATGTTGAATATATGAGACATGGAGGCTGCTGGAGAGTGCTAATTAGCACTCTCCAGCAGACTTGAGGAATCGATTCTGCTCCAGTGCACTGTACATGAACACCACGTGTCCCTGGAGGCTGGGGGGGCACGGCGACCACCCACAGGTGGCAGCAGCGGGCCAAGCAGGGAGCTTCTGCGGGTGGCAGTGTCAGCGGTGGAGGGGATGGGGTGGCAAACGCTGACCAGTGGTCAGCAACCACCTTCAGACACTGCAGGCAGCAGCAGCAGTGGCCAGTGATGATTGGGGACTTCCTGCAGACGTCGTCAGTGGCGAGGTGGGGAGGTGAAGAGTGGTGACCACCCACAGGCACCGCTGGCAGCATTGGCAGCACTTTTTGCCGGGCATGCATCGCCAAGCTCAGGGGGTGCATGTGCACCCCCGCAACATCGCCAATGGTGCTGTAATTACAGCACTTCAGAGCAGCATCTCCACACATCTATAGACAGCCTAAAGTTTTATAGTACATTTTATGTCCTAGCTATTGTACCATATTGATCAGTTTTTCTCAGAAAAATTATTAGACTAAGTATATATTTTTTGTGGTCACATCTGGATTATTGTTGATTTGGCTTCCTGCTTTATTTATGAAAGATGAAGTTCAGATTTTTATAGTGCAGTTAGTGTAAGCTGTGGTTCCTGGGGAATAATCAGCAAAGAGATTTGCTAGGGGAATCTCCAGGTCATATTTTCCTTTGACTTCAGCATTTGACAGGTGATTTCCAGGTTTTGTTATCAGCTAAAAGCACATTTCAGCCTCTGTGCCTTTGGCATTTTGTACTCTTTCTTATGGTCCTCCAGTTTAATTCAGTGTCCCCTTCTGTCCTGTTCCTGAACATCACCAACCCTTCCTATAGCTAAATTACTCTAGACTCTTCTGTACTTAACTTTCAGTCTTGCTCCCTGCTGTCCTGGCCTTTTTCCCATAACTTTTACCATTCATCCTGTTGCTTCCCCTTTCTCAGTTGTCTTCCTTCCTGATAGAAGTCCCCTCTAAATCACACATGAAACTAGGAAAATATTTAGGTAATTGTACTTCCTGCCTTTCAAGCTCCTTTGAAATCTAAATCTTTGTATGACCTACTTTTATCATTCCAGTTTTTTATGCCTATTTATCAAGTCATTCACTTGGTCTTTTAAGGGGGTTTCCATCAGGACTCTGTAAGTGTAGTACAAACTCCATTTTGAGGCTTGAGTTTTTCTCTAATATAATCCTCTTATACAGATCTTTATCTGTGTGCTTTTCTTATTACAGTTCATCTCTAACTGCATTTTTTTTAAAAGTACTGGTACTTGTGTAAACTGTTGACCTTTTGTTCACTTTTTTGCACTGAATCCAGGCATTAGGGATTCCCACTTAAGTGTTAGGGAGAATTAACTGAGATCAGAATTTAGAGGTCTAGGCAGTTTATGTTGATTTAAAATAATTCCCTGTAAATTACAAGTCATTCTGTATTCTTCTGTAATCTTTGGCTTTTCTCTGTATTCACAGATAGAGAAGACCAGTCCATTCTGTGCACGTAAGTAGAATTGTTGGTTTAATATATTTCATTTTTCGGTGCCTGTCTCCAGTCACAACTTAATTCAATGCCTATTGAAGCCAATCAATAAACACTCTTGGCCTTCAGTGAGCTTGGGTTCAAATCTTCAGTGAAAGGGGTTTAGCTATTTTAGCACTGGTCAAGTATAAGGCGTTTGTACTTGCATGAGAAAGCAAGTGTTAAAGGCACAAGATTAATAATTCAAATGATGTTTTGACATCAGGAAATCTAAAATTTACAGAAGTCTAAAGAGACAGTACGTGCATGATGGAGGGACAAGGAATCTTAAAAGCTCTGTGTAAGGGGGATGGAAAGTGTCACGGATGCATTCCCTCGCTAGCCCTTCGTGGTGTTGTACCGAAGCACGTGATGTTCTGTTGTCTTGTTTGTTCCTCACGAGGGCTGTGTGAAACAGCACCGTTTCTTTTCAACTTCTGTTTTCCTGTTTCAAAGGGACAGTGTTTCATTTTGCTGTTTCAAAGCACTGCTCCGTTTTGTTTCGTCAAAACTGTTTCACTGTTTCAGTGCTGTTTTGATGTTTCGCCCATAGGCTATAATGGGGAACCATGAAAACGCCTATAACTTTGTCATTTCTTGCCTGATTCAGATGAAAACTACAAGGATGGTAGCCCCTTCTGAGGCCATGAAGCCTGTCGAGTGTCAAGGAGATAGGTGCAGGGGTTTCTGGGATACTGCACCTCAAACTGTTCAAAGCAAAACCCGTATCACTTGCCAGCAGCCTGCTTATCCTGCATGCAGATCTCGGGGTCCGCACCCCCCAGGAGGGCTGCAGGGCTGTGCCAGACTGGTCACAGCACTGAGTGCCAGGAAGACTGGTGCTGCCGTTGGCCCCAGCCAGAAGTGGCAGCTTGCTGTCATCCCACATGTAGATCCGGGGGCCCGCACCCCACCTGGAGGAGTCTGGCACAGTCCCGCAGCCCTCCTGGGGAGCGCAGGCCCAGTGGATCTGTGTGCAGGGTTTCAGCAGGCTGCTGATGACAGCTGGGGAAATAGCCCAGAGCCGCCACCATCACCAGCTGGCAGTGGCAGCCTGCTGTCATCCCACATCATCCAGGGGTCTGCGCCCCCTGGGAAGAGCTAGGGGAAGTGATCATAGAGCTGGGGGAAAGGGCAGGGAGCTGGAGAATCCAACTGGGAACTCCTGGTTCAATTCTCCTGCCCCCTGTTCAATTCCTCAGCTCTCTGATTGCTTCCCCCAGCTCTCTGATCATTTCCCCAGCTCTTCCCAGGAGGCGCCGGCCCCTGGATCTGCATGCTGGGTTTCAGCAGGCTGCCCCAGCCTGCAGTGGCAGCCTGCTGAAACCCCGCATGCAGATCAGGGGCCTGCACGCCCCCCTGGGAAGAGCTGGGAAAGCAATCAGAGAGCTAAAGGAAGCAGTCAGAGGGGTGGGGAATCGAACAGGGAGCTAGATGTCAGTATCAGAGCAGTCCTTCCCCCCACCCTCTCCTTGGTTTCTGTTTAGCTGCAAGCAAGCCCGGCTTCGAAACTTCAAATGTTTCAAAACTTTTGAAATGTTTTGAGCGCCCTCATTTAATTTTGAAGCTGTTTCAAAGCTTTTTGTTTTGTTTCAATTTTGCTGTTTTGAGCTTGAAACACATCAAAACATCTTTGAAATGAAACACCCGTCAAAATTTTGCACAGCTGTATTCCCCACCCAACTTTGTGTAGTTTGGATACAGGCTGCTGCTGTACTTGTCCTGAGAAATATTCTCAAAAAAGGCTTGATTACTGCTAACTCCTTTGTAGCAGGACTCCTCAGTTGCTCGAAGTCTAGACAGAAGGCAAGTAAGTTCATTCACTTACTGGGCTCAGTGCCTGGTTAGAAAGTAGACTTATACTACCATCTTTTAAAGCCCAAATCTGTCTGACCTTCTTCTTCTCAAGACCTCTTCTTTGGGCTTTGACTGGCTTGTCCTCCAATATTACCTGTCATTAGGGGTCCTATTCTTGCATGTTGGCTCCAAGTGATTTTGCTGCAGCTGGTCCTAATGTATAGAACCTGCTACTCTCTGAGACCTCTTTTAGTTGTATTGCCAAGATGCCTTAGGTTTGGTCTCTTCTTTGTGATTATCTCTGTGTCATATCACACTACAGGTGCTCAATTGGTTTTATAGACTTGAGTGTCGATGAAAATTATTTTAATTATGTTTTTATTGCAATAGACTGCATATTTATTGTCCTAGGCAGTATCCAGAGTGTCTCAGTAGGGAAGGGATTTGCTTCCATACCAATAAAAATTATTATTATTTGCAGAAATGACACACATGTTGATTATATTAGAAACAGGAAGAAAGTCAAGCTCTTATAATAAAGTTTTGACTACCATATGGTAGAAATCAATTCAAACCTGGACTGAGTTGTTTTTGGGGGAGAGAAGAGAATTCATCTACTTACATTGCTGATTTACAAAATTGTACTTTTGCTCACCAGTTTTATAGGGGCTGGAAAATGACTGACTTCTTCACAGAAGCATTGCTCCCAAGAATGCCTTTATCCTATAGCTAAGAACAGTTAAAAATATGGACCATCTCCTAAAATGGGGTAGAGCAGCTTAGCTATAACTTCAAAGCTACCTAGTTTTACACCAACTAAGAACATGGCCTAACAAAAATCTTATAATGTCAGTTATACGATAAAAATTGTCCACTTCCTGCATTTTCCCTGGACAAAGCTTTTAGTGTTAATGGAGCCTAATTTATTATATCCATTTGCCCCTTCTATTCCTTTACTTTTTTCCATTTTCTTCTGTCTTCATCTTACTTTTGAATATTTGCATTTTTGAGAGGAAAATTTGCCTTTGATAAATCTATCTATAGTCCCAGAAATCTTGGTTTCTGATAATTTAAGTACATGGGGGAAGGAGTTTGGGGTTTTTTTCACTCCTGGATTCCAAAATTGGAACACATTGTTAGATTTCACACAATCCAGTGGAAAGGAAATAAATCCTTTATCAGACCTCATCCATAGTACACAAGTACGGAGATTTAAATGTTGTTCTGCTCTTTAAGGACAGAAATTACCCATAAACTGGTATAAGTGATTAGAAACCAGTTCAAATCTGTAACACAACAGAAGTTCAGTGCATATAAACCACTTTGAAAATGGTCAAAACCAGTTTAAGATAAACCTGGATGAATCAGATTATCAGACTTAACTGATTTAGGTTAATTTGATTTATTGAAATTTTGTCCCAGATCCCCTCCAAATTCAAGCTAACTCACAGTCCACAAGCATCCCAGGATGCTTTGCACCTCTTCTGCAAGTCCCCCTTGCAGGATGGCTGGGCTAGCCTTGGCCCAAGCTGTCTACTCCAGCCAAGCAGGGAGGTATGCTCTAGCACAGAGGCGGGCAATTATTTCGGGCAGAAGGCCGCTTACTGAGTTTTGGCAAACCATCAAGGGAAGAAAAGTAGCCCTTCAAAACAGTGCTTACCTCTTAATACCTCCTTGTACAGAAATGCAAGAGCTAAAATGTATGTGTAGAAGTGTAACTATTATCACTTTTTTGGCCTTGTTGACCATATTTGGTTTTACAGAAAAAAACACTCTTTTTGTTAAACAACAGTGAAGTGCAAGCAATACACATTATTTTATGATCATTACATTTCTTGGAAGTTGTCATTTTGCTTAAAATACCCAATGACCAAGGAGTTTATGTAATTTATCTTCTGAGATATCTAAATAGCCATATATGCAAAATCTCCAAGCTTTGATACATAAATTGCAATCACTTAATATACATTTGTCACAAGTGTCAGTTTCCTTATGCAAATATATCTTTGGATGCTTCTAAAAGTTCTGCTGATGTTTGTGCTTGGTGGGCCTGGGCTGCATGATTTAGTGTAGACTGTCAGAGATTCCTTTTCTCATTGCCACTGCATTGTCTCTCCCTCTGAGAATACTGTCTTTCTAGTAGTTCAGCAAGCTAGCCAATATAGTTGCTGATACTGAGGCAGAGGTTGTGTTCTTTATTTATAGTTATTGCATTCTCTGAAGCTTGTACTACTTCTCTTAGAAAGCTATTCCATTGCTTAACAGCTCAAAATACATTCAACATATTACAGAAATCTGGCCCTTCTTTTCTGGACATGTTGCTTGTCCAGGTTCTTATTCCTCTGTCTCCAATGCTACATTTTCCTCTGTTTGGAACCTTTTAGTCATCCCCAGATCCATCCCAAATGCTGTTACCAAAATCATTTCCCTTACCCATCAGTTTAATCCAAATGTTTTCACAGCTCACCTACCCGTAACCCGTCATCATAGGCAGAATGGGAAAAAATTATTTGGGGGGACTGAGCACATGTGCACATATGCATGCATCCCCCACCAGCAGGTAAGTCTGTGGGGCAGGGGGAGGAGAAAGGACCATGGGGAAGGGGGCAAATCGAGGCCCCAGCAGTGAGGGAGGGTGCATGGCACAGGCAGGAACAGGGGCTGGGGTGAGTAGGGCCCCAGCTGGACCGGGTGGTGGGACAAGTGGAGGCCTGGGGGGCACATGCCCCCCCCCCAATCTATGTGCAAGGTAGAGGCGGCTGCCACTACATGTTGGGCTTTGAGCCCTGCTGCCCCAAGAGCTGTGGGATGCCATGTGCATCCCGCCGCTGGTCAGGCAGGAGGTATGGGGCAGCTGCAGCAGGGAGCAAAGCACAGCATGCAGCTGCCTCCGCCCCACACACAGATTGGGGGGCACGTGCCCCTGGGCCTCCGTTTGTCCCACCACCTGGCCGGTCCGGGGTCCCACTCACCCCAGCCCCTGCTCCTGCCTGTGCCCCACTCCCTCCCTCACCACTGAGGCCTCAGTCTGCTCCCCTCCCCATGCAGGTAAGTGGAGCTGGAACTGGGACTGGAGCTGGGGCAAGAGCAGGCTCTGCACAGCCAGAATGGAGCATGGGAAAGAGCTATGAGCAACTTGTCTGGGGGGCTCCCAGTGTGGAGGGAAGGGGAGGGAGAGCTCCCTC